ACATATATATATATATATATATATATATATATATATATATAATTTATAATATAAATATATATAATCATTTATAAGTTTTATAAGATTTTTTTTATTTTCTAAACTTGTCCCAAAAACCTGATAGACTAAATAATAATTATTCCTAATTGATGAATGATAAGTCTCATATCACCTCAGCAACACCTAACGTTACATTAAAGCATCTAAAATGCACACTCAGATCAGTTTAATACAGCAAACTGATGATGAAGTATTGTAATATAAATGGTTTAACAAACTGTTTACCAGTTGACTCATTTCTAACGTTCTCACACACAAAACTAAATACTGTAGAAACTGCTGACTTTTAGAGATGATCACAATAACCTTCTGACTCTATCCTGTGACATAAATCTATTTTTCACTCATTTCTATCATCAAAGTAAAGAACAAGTAGCCCCATTAAACACAACATTGTGAAACAATACATCTGGCTTGCCCTCCCCTTAATGTGCTTCCTAATGGCAATGGCTCCATTTCCTTTGGCTGGGTGCTTTTTCCCAGGAGGATGGAGGGAGAGGCCACTCCTGTCCCCCATGTCCCAGGCACCTCATTTTGGTACAATAGCCCATCGACAGTCCTGTAATCAGAACAGAATGTACACCGGGTGAACTGAGCACCACCAGGCACCTAATCATGTCTGTTTGAAGAGCCTGAGGAGACGGCCACCCCTCCAGAGCGCAGTTTCCTTTCCTCTCTCCACCAGTCACCTCCTCCCAATCCAACTGCCTCTTGTCTCGAGGCCACATGTGACACTAAGAGCTGCTTTAAGCTAGGAGTCAATGTTCTCATGAACAAAACAGGATTAATTCAGTTCTCTCAAGTCTGCACTTAGAGGTCAATGTCCATATAATTACAGTCCTACCACAATCTTATTGATTTGTCCTCTCATAAATTGGTTTAGCTAAATAAATAAACATATTACAAGCCATTTTGGATTTTTCTCCTTTTGTATAAGCTTTATCCAGTTTCTGGAGCTCTAACCTAACCTAAGTCTCATCATTAGCACCTACAGACCGAAAACTTTTAACACTGGCGGCACAAACAAAAAGTACAAAAAAATAGGGTGAACTATGTAAAAGTGCAATGAAGCACTGCTAAAAGTTTTTACTCTCATCCTTGAAGTTTTATTACGATACTACAACCCAAATTAACATTTAAATATTTTGGGTGGGAATCTTTAGACATCTCCTGATGTTTTTGGCAATCCCGATCACATTCAAAAATGACTCTTTCAGTTGTTTGTATTATTAATTAATGAATTTACTAGCATTTTATTTATTTAATTATAAGTACTAATTATAAGCACACAAATGCCATCACACATATGTGGAAAAAAACAGAATTGATACAGAATTGTTAAAAAAAATTGAAATGCACTGGAGAATTGGTATTTAATATAATGTTAATTATAGACCTTTTAACACAATAAGGCACTATTATTTATTTGAACTGTATTATTTATTTTTTCAGATAAAGTGGGGCAGTGGTTTTAATTCAGCAAATAATTTAGTTGTATTTAAATTATTTTCCCAGATCTATCAGCAAATTATGTTTAAATACATGTCACATCTGCTTAAGTTGCTCAAGCATTTTTTTGGACAATGGCACAGTGGATAAGGTGGTCAGCCTGGTTAATCTCATCACAACCAGTTCATAGTCAAGATAATCCATAAAAAAGTCAGCCTGAACTGGCTAATAACCATAAATGATCTATAATAACCATGAACTGGTCAAGCCCTAGAAAAATTAATACAGGACGTTATGGCATAGAATATAGGAAATTAGAAATTAGAATATATCTAGGCTCTAACTATTGTATATAATGTTTTATGAACCTCATGATTAGTATGGTGTGGTGATTAATGATCCTAATTAATTTTAAAAGTTTTAAATAGCATCTCCCTCTTTACCAAAAAGCTGCTGTCCCAGTTCTATCTATCTATCTATCTATCTATCTATCTATCTATCTATCTATCTATCTATCTATCTATCTATCTATATTTTTTATTATTTTAGCTGCTGACCAAAACATATTCAAGGGACCGTAAGTAATTTAAATAAACATATTACAAGCCATTTTGGATTTTTCTCCTTTTGTATAAGCTTTATCCAGTTTCTGGAGCTCTAACCTAACCTAAGTCTCATCATTAGCACCTACAGACCGAAAACTTTTAACACTGGCGGCACAAACAAAAAGTACAAAAAAATAGGGTGAACTATGTAAAAGTGCAATGAAGCACTGCTAAAAGTTTTTACTCTCATCCTTGAAGTTTTATTACGATACTACAACCCAAATTAACATTTAAATATTTTGGGTGGGAATCTTTAGACATCTCCTGATTTTTTTGGCAATCCCGATCACATTCAAAAATGACTCTTTCAGTTGTTTTTATTATTAATTAATGAATTTACTAGCATTTTATTTATTTAATTATAAGTACTAATTATAAGCACACAAATGCCATCACACATATGTGGAAAAAAAACAGAATTGATACAGAATTGTTAAAAAAATTGAAATGCACTGGAGAATTGGTATTTAATATAATGTTAATGATAGACCTTTTAACACAATGAGGCACTATTATTTATTTGAACTGTATTATTTATTTTTTCAGATAAAGTGGGGCAGTGGTTTTAATTCAGCAAATAATTTAGCTGTATTTAAATTATTTTCCCAGATCTATCAGCAAATTATGTTTAAATACATGTCACATTTGCTTAAGTTGCTCAAGCCTTTTTTTTGGACAATGGCACAGTGGATAAGGTGGTCAGCCTGGTTAATCTCATCACAACCAGTTCATAGTCAAGATAATCCATAAAAAAGTCAGCCTGAACTGGCTAATAACCATAAATGATCTATAATAACCATGAACTGGTCAAGCCCTAGAAAAAGTAATACAGGACGTTATGGCATAGCATATAGGAAATTAGAAATTAGAATATATCTAGGCTCTAACTATTGTATATAATGTTTTATGAACCTCATGATTAGTATGGTGTGGTGATTAATGATCCTAATTAATTTTAAAAGTTTTAAATAGCATCTCCCTCTTTACCAAAAAGCTGCTGTCCCAGTTCTATCTATCTATCTATCTATCTATCTATCTATCTATCTATCTATCTATCTATCTATCTATCTATCTATCTATCTATCTATCTATCTTTTTTATTATTTTAGCTGCTGACCAAAACATATTCAAGGGACCGTAAGTAATTGGACAATTGACTCAAAACTGTTTCATGGACAGATGTGGGCTATTCCTTTGTTATTTCTACATCAATTAAGCAGGTAAAAGTTCTGGAGTGGATTCTAAGTGTGCCATTTGCATTTGGAAGCTGTTTCTGTGAACCCACATCATGCGGTCAAAGGATCTCTCCATACAAGTAAAACAGACAGTTGTTAGGCTTCAAAAACAAAACAAATCCATCAGAGAGATAGCAGGAATATTAGGAGTGGTCAAATCAACAGTTTGGTACATTCTGAGAAAAACAGAATGCACTGGTGAGCTCAGCAACATAAAAAGGCCTGGACGTCCACAGAGGACAACAGTGGTGAATGATCATAGGATCCTCCCCACAGTAAAGTGAAACCCTTTCACAACATCCAGCCAAGAGAAGAACACTCTCCAGGAGGAAGGTGTGTCACTGTCAAAGTCTACAATCAAGAGAAGACTTCACGAGAACAAATACAGAGGGTTCACCACAAGGTGCAAACAAGGCCAGATTAGACTTTGCCAAAAAACATCTAAAAAAAGCCAGACCACTTCTGGAAAAGCATTCTTTGGATGGCTGAAATTAAGATCAACCTGTACCAGAATGATGGGGAGAAAAAAAGTATGGAGAAGGCTTGGAACAGCTCATGATCCAAAGCATACAACATCATCTTTGAAAGATGAAGATTACCTTGTTATTGAAGGTAAAAAAAGTGTATTATTCTGCAATGGCCAAGTCAGTCTCCTGATCTCAACCCGATTGAGAATGCATTTCACTTGCTGAAGATAAAACTAAAGGCAGAAAGAACCACAAACAAACAACAATTGAATTCAGCTGAAGTAAACACCTGTTAAAGCATCACAAAGGAGGAAACAGTCTCTGGTGATGTCTAAAGGTAAACATAAATCTAAAGGTAATCATTCTGAAGTCCACAGTCAACGCAGCCATCTACCAGGAAATTTTAGAGCACTTCATGCTTCCTTCTGCTGACAAGCTTTATGGAGATGCTGATTTCATTTTCCAGCAGGAATTGGCACCTGCCCACACTGCCAAAAGCACCAAAAGCTGGTTCAATGACCATGGTGTTACTGTGCTTAATTGGCCTGCAAACTCCCCTGACCTGAACCCAATAGAGAATCTATGGGGTATTGTCAAGAAGAAGATGAGAGACACCAGACCCAACAATGCAGATGACCTGAAGGCCGCTATCAAAGCAACCTGGGCTTCCATTACACCTGAGCAGTGCCACAGGCTGATTGTCTCCATGCCACGCCGCATTGATGCAGTAATTCATGCAAAAGGAGCCTCTACCAAGTATTGAGTACATGTACAGTAAATGAACATACTTTCCAGAAGGCCAACAATTCACTAAAAATGTTTTTTTTATTGGTCTTATGAAGTATTCTAATTTGTTGAGATAGTGAATTGGTGGGTTTTTGTTAAATGTGAGCCAAAATCATCCCAATTAAAAGAACCAAAGACTTAAACTACTTCAGTCTGTGTGCATTGAATTTATTTAATACACGAGTTTCACAATTTGAGTTGAATTACTGAAATAAATGAACTTTTCCACGACATTCTAATTTACTGAGATGCACCTGTATACTGTATATATATATTCCATTGAATTTAATAGTTTCACTTAGTGAAGACTCACTAATAAATTGTAAAGTCTCGAGAACAGATCAGCATTACAGTTGCAGACTGAAGGAAACTAGGATATTTTCTTTTTAAACATATCTTCTAAAAACCTTTCTTGATCACTGCCCATCCTTCCCAGGCAGCCTGTGCTCTCTTTACAGTCCTACATCTCCCCTCCTAACCTCCCTACAACACGAGTTTCACAATTTGAGTTGAATTACTGAAATAAATGAACTTTTCCACGACATTCTAATTTACTGAGATGCACCTGTATACTGTATATATATATATATTCCATTGAATTTAATAGTTTCACTTAGTGAAGACTCACTAATAAATTGTAAAGTCTCGAGAACAGATCAGCGTTACAGTTGCAGACTGAAGGAAACTAGGATATTTTCTTTTTAAACATATCTTCTAAAAACCTTTCTTGATCACTGCCCATCCTTCCCAGGCAGCCTGTGCTCTCTTTACAGTCCTACATCTCCCCTCCTAACCTCCCTACACCCTCATTCCCGGATCTGTGAATAGTTTACATTGAGGGCTCAGAGGAATGTGAGCTTCTACACCAGGCCTCTTTATTACATAACACTCTCTTTCAGTCTTGTGTGCGTGAGCTGACTCAGTGAACAAACACAGGTCTGAGAGTCCTCTACCTCGACTTGAGGATGATAAATAGGTGGTTATACAAACCCACATAAATCTAAAGGCTACCAATGTAATCTTACAAGTACATGTGTGGTATGAAATGCTGTCAGATGCCACTGCCAAATGAAGCAAGTGCAACAACTATTCATTAGAAATGTTTATCAAAACCCTCAGTAACAGACGCACCTCTTCCATGGCACTGATGAGGTTCTGTGTGGACTTGCTGATTTCTCCTCCACCCACGGTAGCAGCACCAGTGCTCTGGTATATGGAGTCTGGGCTACTGTGTCCGTTCATTTCCACGGTGTAGGTTGCCTTAGCTGGCCAGAAGAGCTGATTATGCATGATGAAGTAGACGGAAAACACGTACAGACCCTGAAAAAGAAGTTAGATGAGCTCAGCACACTGCCACATCAGATGAATAAAGTTATTTCCTCTATTCTATAGAGGGAAGTGGTGCAGCATCTCCATGAGATCCTAGTCAATAGATTTGTTACTTAAAGGGATAGTTCACCCAAAAATGAAAATTCTGTCATCATTTACACACCCTCATGTCGTTCCAAACCTGTATGAGTTGCTTTCTTATGTTGAACATAAAATAAGATATTTTGAAGATTGCTGGTAATCAAACAGTTGGTGGTTGCCATTGACTTCCATAGTATTTTTTTTTCTACTATGGATTCACAATCTATATTCACAATTTAGCACACCTTCTAGCCCTACGTTTTTTAAAAAAGAAAATGCAAAATATATTGTGCATTTTAGCATGGCTGGAACTACACATGATGTATTATGCATCAGCATTTTGGAACACAATATATAATAACTTGTATATCTAACGTATATATACACAATAATTATATGTATATATATATATATATATATATATATATATATATTAGTGATGTCAAACGATTAATCGCGATTAATCACATAC